CTAAGGTAGCCTATCTTGTAGCTCGTGAAATTCTCTATCAGATGAGGTATTGCTTGAAATTTTTCGTTGAGTCCTTATTTTACAGATGGGACTTTAAGCTAGTAGAGTACGCTAAATTAACGTTAATTAGTACTAATTAGTCAATAACCGGAAGAAAACAACAAAAATGTTTACGTATTTTCGCGTAGTAAATATTCTCCACACATTTCTCTATCGATCTAGGTAAGAACTAAGTTTTTATGATGAATGGAGAATGGAGAGAAAATTTTATCATAATAACCCCGTGCTCAAAAATTTAACAACATTTTTTTAAGTAATTAATTTTTTTCTCAGCCAAATAACGTCAGTAAGTCCAAAAAACTTCAGGACATATACTTCGACGTGTCCTCTACAAACTGGGAACGCTAGAGGAAAATCTAAATGGGGGGGGGCCCCCCCTTAAATAACAAAAATCAAAATTACTTAAAACTGTCCTTAGCTTTCTACATAGTTTTAATAACGCATGACTCGATCTGTTTCATCTTGAGTATCGTATTAATGATATTTTGATGAAACATATTTTCGGATTATTGAACAATACGATATCGAACATAAAGAACAAATGGAAGAACTGCTTTCGAATCTTCGTGATTTATCAAAACCTCAATATGTAGAGTGGTATTGACATTCTGTTAATACCTAACAAGCTGTTTATTGGCAGAAGAGAACAGACAGAAAAAGCCATCGTTCATCAGCTGTGCGCAATTCTATATTTTTACTCACTTTTACTTAAAGGAAAAAGAAGGAGAAATGCGCTTGATTCAAAAAGCCAAAACATTGGGCAAAATTTCTCAAAGATAATTCTTTGAAGCAAAATAAACACTGTCAAGGTTGATCAGCATGTAAAATAACCCTACATTCCATATTTTGTTTATTGTTCTAGCGTGAAAATCTCCTCATAGGTGTGTTATCGGAAAACGCCTGAATTTCCGAAACGAAAGACGACAGACAAACAATTCTTTCCGATTCGGAATCAGCGCATCCAATAGTACTAGTCTAGTAGGAAAGAAAACAAAATCGAGGTTTCCGGGCAACCAGCGGTTTTCCGACTCTGCAAAGCCAAGTTTTTCACGGAAAACCTTTTCGAAAACTGACCACATGGTTTTGTAGCAAATTCTATCTAGTTTCTGAATCTGAAAACCGAATGCCCGCTATCACGTATCGTTGAAAAGTTATTAGCGATTTATACACACTATATTTTTACATAGATAGTAACTTATTTCCAAACAGATAATTTTCATACAGTAGAAAAAATTGGTTTGAAACAGCAGAAAAATTATCATTATTGAATTTACATATGATTCAACCAATAACATCTAATTTATCACAATCAGCGCCGTTCACACTAAGTATTTTTCCTTGATATTTACAATAAAGTAATATCTATTGACATAATTCGAATTGCCATTAATAATTCTATTTCGATGGGAAATGGAAATAGAACTTTTTTTCAAATGTGCCAATCGATATTAAGAGATTCCCAGCAGCTTTAATGGATGTATGTATTATTCATTATTTATAATACAGTCAACGTTTCGAACTATACACAGTTCATTTTCAAGACAGAAAGACGTTGCAATGAATTTGAAAAGTAAAACAAATTTAAGAGAGAGAAGGAAATAAAAGTAAATTTATACATTTGTTCGTTCTTTTACCTATCAGAAAACGACAATAGCTAGCTCTGTGAGAGAGAGAATAGCTCTATAGATGTCCAATCAATTATTTATACATATTCTTGCGGCTCTCTTCACAGGCCACTCATTACACTAGGAATGGTTGGTGAGTAAGCTTGTAGAAAAAAATAGCGAAATACCGTGACAGATTGCCCTAAAAGTTAGATTCGAAGTAGTTTTTTGATAAAAGGTAACGGTTATTTTTACTTTCAAGTATCCCTTCGCACATATTCTTGATCAGCTCGTCGAGCTCTGTCGATTGGCATATTTGAAAAAGAAGTTCAGTTTCCATTTCCTATCGAAAATAAATTATTAATGATAATTCAACGTCAAAAACGTTGATAATTTATTATAATTTCCGAAAAATTAGATATGACCGATATTTGATTGAGAACAAGTTCATTTGAATTCTATGAATTGAACGAAAACTTATCGAATAAATTATCAGACACTGGAAGAACAGCAGATTACTCACAAAATAGCGAAAATTGATGGTATCAATGAAGAGGAGGAGAGTGCTATCGAATTGACAATATCTGATGAAGATGAAATGAAGAACTGAATGATGGTGATGAAGAAAATGACAACGATGATAATCAGGATCCAACAATAACAACAGCTAGAAAAGCATTCAGTAGAATGAGAATTTACGATGAAATCAGTGAGGCTAATAAACAAGCCTAATTTTCCACAAAAGTTGACAACAGTGTAAGATATGTGCACCAACCCCTCAAACTGCATGCGGGTATTTAATGAGCGATAAAAACCATTTATCATCTGATATACTTCTACGAGTACAGTAAAACAGCGCTAAGTTAAAATAAATCTTTTCTGATGAACTTTTACCAAGTTAATACCAGTCAAGTTTTACCAACTTGGCTTGTACACTATCAAACACGATAAAATACTTTTCTTTTGATCTAAAAAATACCTATTATGGAAAATCATGATAAGACGGACTTGAAAGTCGTATCATTATAAAGAGAATGATCATTTGCTGCGCTGAAGAGACAACTCAGTATTGCCAAAACTAGTCCAAGGCCGGGCACACGATTATCATTAGTTTTATTTGTTTGTTTTTTATTTTTATTCCGTTATTTTTAATACTGCACATATCATCCTTTGTATTCTTGGGTTAATATGTTTCTATAAAATCATTGAAATACCTGCAGAAATATACACATTTATACAGAAAGGTATTTATTTAAATAGAAAATATTCGTTTCGTCCTGCGTACCTGTTTAAAATGTATAATAGATATACAGAAGGCTTTTGTACTCTTAGGACAAATTTCGGATGCATAGGGATCTTTTCGGGCCCACGCGAAAACCCAGATGTGCTTTTCGCCCCTTGGGTTTTGCTTAACATAAGAATAATACTTGTTTTATCGATTCATTTGTGATTGTTCATTGAGTCGTCCCACGTTCTGACAAATGATCCAAAGTTGAACTTGGTTACGCAACTTAGCGTATCGAAATGCTATTCGTTCCATTTATCATAGATTCTTCTATTCTTGCGCCACAAAAAAGGTTCGTTATAAATATGTTTGAAAACACCTAAAGAAACCTCTTGGACGTGTGAATGCCGTGTACCCTTGTCCTGTTTTGGAAAATGTATTAGGATTTATAATAATTTCATCAAGCGTTAAACCTTTTACTTTATGTACGGTTTGTGCTCACACCAACGGAAGAGGGAATCGTTCTTTAGGTATCTCCAAAGTATGTTCATTGAATTCTTCGTGCCGTTTTACCTGTATGAGTGCATTATAACAGAATTTGAGATAAAAAACAAAGAAAATAATGGAAAACGGATTCTTTGGATGGTTCAAAAAAAATTTCTTTTTCCAGCAATGAAGCAAAACCTTGAAAAATTCGAGCCGTACTTTTAAAGCTGAGCTTCCAGCGGTTCTGATGAAGTACCAAAGTCGGCTACATCTTGTCCTAAACTGGTTTGTGAAATGCACCTACCAAATTTTGGCTCTCCTTTTCAGTGCAAAACATCAGCTGCAAAAACTAAAGTTTTGGTATGGCTCTGTAGAGTATTTCGCGACGCAACTTTTAAAAAATACATTAATCTTACGATCCTAAGAAGAACTGAACACGAGAAAAACAGAAAATATCAAGGTGTCATCCTTTATGACGCATCTGTTAAGTTTGCTATGGTTTTTCTCATCTAGTCGCGAAAGTATTTATTTCGTGAACAAATATGTCCATTGCAATCGTATGGAATTTTTTGAATACATTCAGCAACAACATGAAACGTTTGTATAGAAATATTGGAAATGTTCTCAGAAGAAACGCTGCATAAATTTTAATTAGTAACAACGATAAGGAAACATCATACAAACAAAGTAAAGATAAAAATCGGCAACTGTTCGCATTCACCGCTAAACACCATATGATAATGATTATAATTACATTACTTTTCTTATGCCAATTTGTGCGTTACACACTGGACAATAATGATAGGCATCTTTCAGTGAATCCACACAAAAGGGAATGAGGCAACAACCAAATATCCCACCAAACATTGCTATTATGAAGCATATTAACCATGCAGCAGGACCGCTCACATAATCCACACGTGTAATCACCTGAGCTCGACACACAGAACACGTTATGGAAGCTGGCTGACTACCCAGAAATGGTATGTGTTGTGTAACAAAGACAGCAGACGTAGGCGGGTGACCCACAGTTACGTCTAAGAATACAACAAAAGAATTAGATATAAGAAGTGTCACACTATACACAGGCAGTGTCGTCTTTTTGAGATGTTTACTTAGTTATTTACGTGAGAAAGGCTCGATATGAACTTCCAAAGTCAATGTGAGCAAGACTTTTCCAAATTTAAAACTTTCTGAACCAACAGTAGTGATTCACATCGAACACAAAAATTGACTACATACGATACTTAGATCTTTTTCAAAAATAATGTGACTCTTCTATAACAAATAACTGTTGTGCTAATATTGTACACCTTTACAGCCTTTTCAATACCCAAATAAAATTGATGGGTCTATGGCCACTCTCTGCGCGTGTCAACAAGCAGCTATTGCCGCTTCTTAGTCAATGACAATCACTATAACCAAACAGGTGTCGGATATAACAGTTCAGCTTATCAACTGACTGTGTGGAACTCATATATTGGTAAACTTACTATTTGCACACCAGTCACTATAGTGACTACAAATAAAACAACAGTATGAAATGTTTGTTTATTGGACACGAAAGATATTTTCGTCGAGTTCAAGAAATTTTTAAGGTCATTTATACCACTATGCTCTGGCCTATACGAAAGTATTAGTAAGAAGTTCAGTTTTGTTGGGTTAGTTAATTTGAAGAATATGGATTCAATATTACCTAGGTTAGATAGATATTTACGTTTAAGTCTTATCTCGCATACAAGATGCAACCTCTTCTGTGACGATTCCCGTCTTTCCTAAACAGGGCATAATAATTGCGCAATTCTGTTCTCTGATTACCTTCTGTCCGATGTAATCACCTTCACTACCAACTTCTTGTTGACGTGCCCAGAGGTGGCCATAGTCATTCAGAATGAAACTTGCGTCTGAATCGTCGTCGGTGAGTTACAAGACAGGTTAGTGTTGAACGCATTTCATGAGGCATTTTAAGACATTTGAGACACATTTTTCAAGCATTCATGTAAAGTGATAATACAGGTACCAATCTGTTATACTATGACGATAGAACAGTTTAGACTGTATTCTCTTTCTTGGGAAACTATCTGCTAGCACAAGGTGAAACGAGCATTTCTGATACCTCTCTGCGTCCAACTAACCAGATGCTACTCTTATCTTCTTGACTAACTATCTACCCAGTTGAATATTTTATTATCTTTAAATTAGAAATGACTCATACATACTATATTGCGATTGTAGTCCTGGTTGAAATGTTTGGGGTGTATGAGTGGGATAAGGCGGAGCTTGATACGGTGGAGGATTTTGATCGGGTAGACCAGCTTTTGCGAAATTGTTAAAATCCACTTCAGCCATAATTTAACTTTCAACTAAACCGAAACAACAGCTTGCTTTTATTGTATGTACTTGATGTCTTTTCACGTATCCAAACTTTGACTATATCTATTTTTATCTAGAATATGCCTCCTGTTCTGTTATTTCGTTTTTTTCTTTTCTTTCATCCAAAAATAGCTCCATGCAACACTGATATCAGCATTTATTTTTGTTCGCTCTGGCTCTCTTATTTTTCTTGAGTCATCATTCATCATATTTGTCTTTCTTTCTTTTATGGACATGACGGCAAGAGAATATAAGCTCAATTAGGTTTATTTGTTTATTACTAAAAGCAAAGATCTCAGCAAATTACAACGAAAACAGAATCCTGAATTTGATGCAAATTAAGGGAAGTCGCCAAAATTCGCACTTAGAATACAGCTCATGTTTAGAGTACAGCTACATCCTTTGTTTAATAACAGATGCTAATTAAAATAATTTCGTAACATAAAATAATACCGGTTAAATATACAAATCAATTAAGTCAAGTATAGTACAGAAAAGAATATATACAGATATATTCAAATGCTATTCCATTGTTCTATTCCTGGGTTGATTCTGGGAATGGTTAGCTGTTTTTTAAGTTCGTGTACACCATCAACCAAGTTTGGAACTGACATCTGTAGATAAATGCAATTAACGAAATCCAAAACTAATATCGTTTTGATGAGAATGGCACCGCTTTTTATACGTATCATGCGCAGTCTTTAGATTCAGCCGAGCTTGGTAGTAATTACTTAATAGAAGAGGTACGTACTTATTTTGGATGAAGTATAGTTAAGTTCATTAGAAGCCATTTTTAACAAAAACAGCAGTGTCTTCGGCTAACTGTCTATCAATAAAGGTAAAAGGATTCAGTTACAGATATATCAGAAAACAATGCTGTATACGAACAAGAATTACTAAACACGTTTTTCTATATATCTTTCTTTTCTTTCTTTGCTTTAATAGTACGAGACTGTACATTACACAGCGTCATAGCAGAAAGGAAAAAACACTGTACTTCTCTTTTTGATAAAAAAGACAAATGTTTGAAAATAGAAGAGTGAATTGTAACCGACGAAACTCTCCAGATTTATGTTCTAGTGGCAAGACCCGAATAAAACCCGAAATTTTTTTTGCTTTGACCTGACCCGAATCAATATTTTTTACTTTAATCCGAACCCGATCCGACCCGAACCAATATTTTTTACATTGACGATCCGAGACAATCGGATCCGACCCGACCCGTTTCGGTCTCTGATGCCTAGATATATATGAAGCAAAGAATTAAAACATTGAAGCAGACGAATATGACTATTTGACAGTTAACATGGATAAAAACAAATGAGAAAATAACAATGGGGAGAAAATGATATCTCTCTAATATAAATACTATTTAACCTCCTGAATCTCAGACTAGATTTTTTGAGATGCCATTTGGAAAGATGTAAAGTGGTACTGAGCGTACCGTATTGTTAAG